TTGGATTTTCTTCCCCTAAAAAGTTGAATTTCGGATGTTATGAGAAACTTAGGGCTCGGGACTTTCACTTTGCCAAGAGAACTCAGCTTAATTGCTCTCACAACGAAACGCGGCCGCCGCCGTCTTCGTCCCCGGTTGATGACAACGATCAAGGTCCGCCGCAGGAAGCTGTCCTCAAAGCAATCTCAGGTCTTTCTCTCATTTGCTTCAATTCTTCTTTCAATTCTAATTTCTTGAGCAATACATCATAGATGTCTCTGAAATGTGAAAAAGGTTGGTCCTTTTTGGAATGTATATGCTGAAATGTTTTGGCAATGATGGATGTATGGATCTTGATTCTGGCTGAAATTCCTGAGATTTTTATTTTTTTTTCCTCAGCTGATTCAGCTTTATGCAAAAGTCATGATTTTTAAATTGATGATAATGAATGCAGAGGTGTCCAAGACAGAAAGAAGGGTTGGGCAAACCACAAATGTGGTTATTGGAGGTACAGTAACCGAAGATTCTGCTAATGAATGGCTTGCATTGGATCAGAAGGTATATCATACTTTATTCTATAGTAAGCTTACAATCACATGCTTTTTAAGCTAGCATTTAGCATTGGCTGTGATATTAGTTAACAAAGAGATTGTGATGTTAGCTTCGGCAATGATAGCATTGGCAGCGGTATAAGTACTTACCAGTCATTATTTGGTTTGGTTTCTGTTATATTGGTGTGTAGCCATATGATAGATATGTTTTGACTTTTCAGGTTAATTCTTACCCAACGGTTAGGGGATTTACTGCAATTGGAACTGGTGGTGATGATTTTGTGCAAGCTATGGTTGTTGCTGTTGAATCTGTAATTCAACAGCCTATCCCTGAGGTATATTAATTTCCATTATTGGTGCTGTAAATCAAAGTTGATTGTGATCTACTTGGTGATACATCAAATATTCAGTTTGGTAGATATCAATTCAATGCTAGCATTCTTCTTATGCAAAGTGTTCGATTGTTACTTATGGGATTTGGATCGAATAGGACTTTATTTTTAAGTGGGTAGAATTGCATATGAGCATAATAGAAAAAGTATATCATCTGAGAGGTATTTATGGCACATCCATTAGTTTCTATGGTTATAAATATTAGTTTTGAAAAATGAAAAAAGAAAAAAAGATGTTTTTTTCCTTCTTATGCCATTCCAGTTGCAAACTTAGGTCAGAAACAATGTATATTGAATTTCCTCATGACAGGGTCAGGTGAGGCAGAGAGTATCGTCAAGGGGCAAATATGTATCAGTCAACATTGGTCCTGTTCGAGTTGTTTCCGGTGAACAGGTCTCTCTCTCTCTCACACAGTATCTACACCCTGCACTTTCCCTTCTATCCACCCCTCCTCTGTGTCTCTCACACACACACACATGTACATGTGCACACACACGGGATTTAACCAAAAGAAAACTTTTACTTTACAAACCAAAATGCTTGAAAGGAAGGAGGGTGGTACTTCTCTGATAAAACTTAGTTCTTCTTTCCAGGTTCACGCTGTTTACAATGCTATGAGGAGAGATCACCGAATGAAATACTTTTTCTAGTGTTATTCTCATTCACATTTTGCATATTATATCATCCATGGCTGCATGGTATCCAATTCCTTCTTCCTCATATTCTTTTGTTCCCCTTAACCAGCGTTAGTCTTGTTTATTTCTTTGATTAACACAAAGCAATGTAATAGGCAAAGGAAACATTGTTTGAAGTTTATGTCTTCTCTATTTATGATGTATATTTTCTTAATCTAATTAATCTCAGTCTAGATAGGAAACAACACATTGCCTTCACCTTTCCCTTCCCTTTATGGGACGATAAATAATCAGGGAGGTTTTGGCCATTGCTTGATATTGCTTTGACAAGTGCTTTTAAGGAGGCTGTGTAGTAGCAGTTTGGCCATTTATGCTGTTTAAACAAATTACCTAGTGCATAAAATTATGTGAAGTGGTCCTTGTTTATTCTCCGCACTTCTGTAACTTCCCAGCAAGACTGATCTTGAAAAACCATCACAAAGTTGTTCAACTAGAGCTTGGACTAAGGTTAGATCTACAAAGAACAAACTTAGATAGTCGAATTGGAGCTCTACCAGTATATACTCTTCGAGCTAATTCCTGCACAAGGCACACACACACGGTAATCCCTGCCCGCTTGTCAGGCGAAACTTAGATGGTCCAAGGTATCTGTTAGAATTAGATAGCATAAAAGTTACTTTGTTAGAACTAGATAGTTTAAAAGTGTGGAATATACAATTAAAATAAGTTTTAAGTTACTAACGATTTGTTAATTCGAATAAAAAGAATTCTATTCCCTTTAGGTAAAATCTTTTGTGAATAAAAAAAATGTGTTCAGAGAGCTTTCCTCTAATGGGCTTCAATACAGTTAGACTTTAAATTAGTCGAGATCTAATGTGATTTTCAAATACCAAAGAATTATTACAAAAAAAAATAAAAAAGTTTTAAACTTATGGGTTCAATTGTTAATTTAAAGAATCTTAGTCCTTAAAACACCATGATCAAATGGCATTGGACAGGATGTGAATTGCAATCAAAAGGTATGTATGATCAAGTCATGATCAAACCAGGATGAAATCATGATCATCCGATCAAGTCGAATTCAAACGATATGATAAAATCATGTATCATTCGATCAAGACAAATTGGTCATGTTCAAATCAAGCATGTTTAAAGTTTCTGGATCGAAGTGTCCATATTAACAAAGTCTAAACGCACACCTGTTCGACTGTTCTAAATGGTAGAAGTGTCTATACGAAGAAGTTTGAGAGAAAAAGGAATGAGTGGAAATAAATGGTTGTATTTCTCAATGAATATTTACATGTTTATATAGTTATTAGAGATTTATACTTGTACGTAAAATCAAGAAGATTATTGATTTGTTAATTTTGTTATACACTTTTTTTATTTTTTATAACTATTACTTAACTGATAAATAATGTAATTCTTTTTTTCTTTTTCATAACCGTTATTTAATTGATGTTTAATTGATTCTTTTGAATTCAGAGGTTTTCTTTTAATTGGATTGATGTAGCATATAGTTTTCTCTATTGTATTTAGATGTTGGATTTACGGAACAAGCTTCCTTCTTTTACACTATACACGATGACACCTATTCGGCTTCTTTTCAAAACTCATTTCAATTGATTAATTTCTTTTCATTTGTACTTGAGAGAGTTTGAGTTCTTAAAGTTCCATTGTTTCTTGGGGCTTTTGAGAACTTTTTGAAATCTTAATTCTTTCACGTCTCAAGAATATCTTTCTTTTCAGTCCATGGTATTGCAATGGCCTTGTTGAAGAACTTGGGCATGAAATCAACCTTGATAATCTCTGCATCAATGAAGAATCCTCCACGGTACCAAAGAGAAGGGCAAATATGTAAGGAGTCTTTCCTTCTCCACGGGCGACAACTTTTCTGATAGTCTCACTGTTGGATCCTTCGAGACTCCTATATATCACCAAGAAAACATCAATTCCATGGAATTTCATCTCCATCCCAGAAATTCTAGCCCGCAACAGAGTTTTGAAGAATTGTGGGGGTATACGAAGATGAGTATTTACTATTTGGCCGTTTTCATTCCCAATAATAAAGGGCGCCATGATGATTTTTAGTGCCACTAACAACGCGTTTGGAGTGCTGGATTGATAGTGGGATGGGATAAAAATTTTGTCTCATCACATGTCTCATGTTTGGTAAGGTAAATGGATGGAATGATTGTTGTCCCATATTTTATCCGATCTTGTCTTCCTTTTATAAAATGTAACCCATCTCCCCCATGGGATTAGGTGGGACAAGATTTGATTTTACATTTCTACGTTTTCCTATCTCCACGATTCTCTACCCCTTCTCTTGTTTTTCTTCGCTAATCCTTCTTTCAGTTTGTATCGGCACACATCGGCGTAACGCCAACAACACATCAGAATTCATCTTCGTGAGTAGTTGGACGGATAGCTTCCTCTTCCTTCCTCTCTCTTTTCTCCTGGTTTTTCTCCATTCCCCTCTCTTCCTCTTCTCCTTTCTTTCCTCAATTTCTATCTGATATGAAGGCATCAACCAGATAAATCGCAAGAATTCAGCAACAGAGTCGTCAAGCACTTTCAAGTGGTTCTCCGATTTCTCTTCTTGATCAAATCAACCATCCACTCCAATTTGCGGTTTGACTTGTTGCCTTGTTGCCTTGTTGGGTTGCATGAATGGAATGAAAAATGCTGATGATAATTAAATATGATTTTGTTGTAATTATGTGCAATTAATCAATAATAAATTTGTAAATTTTTTTATATAAGTAATTAATGATAATTATTACAATTAATTTCAGTGGTCAATGTTACTATGATTAATTTCAAAACAAATTAAAATAAAATTTTATTAAGTTTAATTATAATGTATGGATATTTTTATTTATACAAATAAATTGTTATGTCTTATTTTACTTTAATCTAGTGATCAATCAAACATTACATTAAATTTAATACAACATA